CTACAACATGCACAAGATGCATATGGCTCTTCCTGAACTGCTTGCAGAGCTTAAGTCGGCGGAAGTCTTATTCACACAGGCTCCTCAGGTGCTAGTCGCCGAGCAGGCTGAACCTTCTAGACTTTATAAGGGCAGGAAGAGAAAGAAGTTTGCAGGAAAGGCGAAGGCACAGGATGCTCCGGTTGTTTTGCACTTAGATAGAGTGGGTTGTCATTGGTCGAACCGAAGATCACTCTATCAGTTACTTGCGAAACAAGAATAGCGGTTCACAACCTAGATGGACATGAACAACCCATCCGAACGGTTGTAGTGTCAACTGTACAGTTTGTCTTGACTGATTAGTTGCACTAGTACATTTATGTATTGAACAGGATTCCAGAGAGGAGAAGTTCGTTTTGAACTGATCGTCGTAAATGAACTAGGCCTCGGTTAATTACTGCGTTCTCTTAACCCGTAAGATATTAAACAGACATATATATGTAGTACATATTACTTTGATTCACTTGGATGAGGTTCAGTTTGCTGGATTAATATTCCTACTGTTTTGGGTAATATTACTATGTATAGTAAGTGCTGTTACAATATTTACGGTCACCATGTGCGTTAGTCTGATGATGTCCCCAAAGTGAGTTAATGAAAGATTGTTATGCTAAACCCTGCAGGTGGATTAAGATCCGGCATAATAAGAATGCGATGAACAAGCGCTAGCTTCGGTGAAATAATAATAAATTAATTAATTATTGATTGTCAGTAATCGAATTAATTAATGGACAATATATCTTAAACGTGGGGAGGTAAATCGAGTAATTATAATTAGAGTCTCAAATGTAATTTTGGCTAGGAAAAGGGAGTTCAATAATATTTATGTTGGTGGCCCATAATATTATTTAATTAATTAGAGAAGTGGGTTTGGCCCGCAGTTAGTCTAATTAATTAAGGAGCCCTATTCCTAATCTCCTAAGGGTCCCTACTGTAGCTCTATATATACATCATTAAGCTCATGATAAGAGAAGAGAATCCCACATAATTCCACACGTGAGACGCGCCCCCTCATCTCTCTCTCAGTTCTCATTCGAGCTTTGTCTTCTTCTTGTTGCTCCACTGGTACAAGTTGAAGAAGGGTGTTTGAGTAATACAGTAGAAGATCCATAGGTAATCGAGACCCGATAATCTTCTACACAAGTCAACGATCCACGACCCAAAGTCGAGGACCGCCGACCAGCCGAGCCGATCGCCGGCAGCCGGAGCCGACGGACCGGCGTAGATCGCGACACGACTGGCCAGCCACCGCGACGATCCGACGAGGAGCTTCCGATCGCGACACGACTGTCGCGATTCCACACGACGCGATCCGATCTGACACGAGCCGACCTGCCTCCCGTTCCTATGTTGTTCCCGGTCACCCTGATGATCAACCAGATCGCCATAAAATTTTAAGCCGTAAGTTCTCTATGTCAAACCTTTAGATCCGCTGTACATAGGTTTACGTTTGCTATTGAATTCGTGATTTGTACATAACGAGATCCACACAGATCCCAACAGAAGTGTTCGCCCGAAATCTCCATGTATGGAGAACGATTGTTGCACAAAACATTTTCCTAAAAATTTCTCTGAAACCATGACTCTTGACGAAGAAGGCTATCCACGATACAAATGCCGTGATAATGGCAGGACCATAGAAAAGAATGGCATTCCCCTGGATAACAGATATGTTGTGCCTCATAACAGAAAATTGCTCCTGAACTACGGCGCACACATAAATATGGAGTGGTGCAACCAGTCGAGGTTGATCAAATATTTGTTCAAGTACGTGAACAAGGGTAACGATCGTGTTACTGCAACTTCCAATGGAGATGAGTCCTCTAGCAGGCCAATTGATGAGGTGAAGATGTACTATGATTGTCGGTACGTTTCATCTTGTGAGGCTGCGTGGCGGTTGTTGGAGTTTGAGATTCAATACAAGCACCCATCAGTGGAGCACTTGAATTTTCACATCGAGAACGAGCATCCGTGCTACTATGACGATGAAATTTCGATCGATGAAGTGGTTGAGAAATATAAAAATGCCGGCAACAAATTTTTAGCTTGGATGGAAGCTAACAAGAAGTATCCCGAAGCCAGGAAACTGACATACATTGAGGCTCCCACCAAATTTACGTGGCGCTCAGAATCCAACAGTTGGGAGCCTAGGAAAGGAAGTGACCGTATCGCGCGTTTGTACTTCGTCCCCCTGGTGCTGGTGGCATATATTACTTGCGGTGTCTTATCAACGTTGTTCGAGGTGCAACATGCCATCATGACTATATGAAGTTGAAGGGATTACAACACGATTCGTACAGTGACACGTGCTTTCCGTCAGTCTGGTGGAGGACGACAAAGAGTACATTGAAGGGATTATCGAGGCAAGCCAGTGGTCGAGTGCCAATTCCTTGAGAAACCTTTTTGCTACTTTGTTGTCTTCTGATACTCTTGGTCAACCGGAGTTCGTGTGGGAATCATGCTGCCTTACCTATCGGATGATATATTATATAATCGTCGGAGGGTTTTACAGCACCCAAGTAAACGAATCAATTACGGTCACATACTTATGTTTTTTTTCTTTTTTTCTTATGCCTTTATATTTATAAACTTTCTATATTGTTGTTACATAATTGGTTTTGAGCGATGATGAAGTAAAGAATCTGGCATTGGCGGAGTTTGAAATTTTTTTGCGCAGACGTGGTACGAGTCTACGTGAATACGGTACAATGCCTTTTCCTAATCTCGATCGTAACGAGGCATCCACAAACAGACTGGTGATGGACGTGTTGAATTACAATCGTCGTGCACTCGCTATTGAGAATCAGGAGTTGGTTGCCAATATGACTGATGAGCAGCGCAATGTTTATGGCTCGATAATGGACTCTGTTTACCGTACCTACGGCCGCATGTTTTCGTTTATGGTTACGGCGGCATCGGATAAACATATGTCTGGAGGGCATTGTCTTCTGCTTTGAGATCCAAAGGTGAAATTGTGTTGAACGTTTCATCGAGCGGTATTGCATCACTTTTGCTTCCCGGCGGACGCACTGTGCATTCACGATTCAGAATCCATTAAACCCAATGGAAGGCTCTACATGCGATATTAGCCAGCAGAGTCCTTTGGCCGAACTGATCATACGATGTCGGTTGATCATTTGGGATGAAGCCCCGATGATGACCAAATATTGCTTCCAGACGGTTGACAACACCTTGCGGCAAGTGTGTTGTGTTAGGTGGGGATTTCAGACAGATACTCCCCGTTGTCCCTAAAGGCAGTCGAAGTGACATAGTTAATGCGACCATCAATTCATCCAAGTTGTGGCGCGATTGTATCGTTCTGAGACTGACTCGGAATATGAGGCTTCGAAGCCTTGGTGGGGGCGATGAGTATGGTGAGTTGATGAACTTCTCTGAGTGGCTTGCAAACATCGGCGACGGTATAGTCGATGGATCGAACGACGGTTGTGCGGATAGCGACATCCTCGACGATATTCTTTTACACTCACAAGGGATCCTATTGGTACTATTGTTGAGAGTACCTACCCGATGTCCATGAGTGCAGGTGACTATCTTAGCTATCTGAAGGACAGAGCAATACTCGCTCCCACACTTGATGTGGTTGAGTCCATTAACGAATACATGAGCTCACTAAACTCATCCGAGGGAAGGACTTACTTGAGTTCGGACACCTCATGCAAGTCAGATGCTGGATATGATTCTCTTCAGGATCTTCACACTCCTGAGTTTCTCAAGGGGATCAAGTGCTTTGGCCTTCTGAATCCTAAACTGCACCTTAAGGTCGGAACTTCAGTGATGCTTCTTAGAAACATTGATCACTCCATGAGGTTGTGCAACGGTATTGTTCATCAAGATTCAATTTTTCATCTATATTTCCTTTTATCTTTGTACAAATTTAAGTGATATGCCTTTGTTTTCTGAGTTTTGATGTCAACAGGTACACGGTTGGTTATCACTAAGCTCAACAGCCATGTCCTTGAATGCAGGATTTTAACTGGTGCCAAAGCTGGTGACAAGGTTCTTTTTCCTAGGCTCACAATCATACCACTTAGGGTACCGTTCAAATTTCAATGCAGGCAATTTCCGCTCATGGTTTCATATGCTATGACTATCAACAAGAGTCAAGGTCAGTCACTGCCACACATCGGCTTACTATTGAAGAACCCTGTATTCAGTAATGGACAGTTGTATGAGACACTATCTAGAGTCACGAATTGGAGGGGTCTGAAGATAATGATCTGTGGTGATGGAGATTTTGACGATAGGAAAACCACAGACGTTGTATATAAAGAAGTATTTAATAATATTTAGATTTAGATGTTGTTGCTTAACTTTTTTCTCAATTATCATGTTATGATTTTTATAATTGTTTTCCTTTTTTATTTTTTCCTTTATCATATAGCTTTCCGTACAAATGCACGGGTCAAAAACTAGTGAAATAAAAAATTAAAAAATGACTTTGTCGCGTCATTATTTCCAATTTCCCTCCTATCGTTGTGAAAAAAAAATAAACATTAGCAAAGTAGATAAAAGAATCTTTTTACTCAGTTGGCACTGTAAATAATTGGATTAGAAGCTCCGTAAAGAAAATAATAATAATAATAATTCTGGACTTTGTTTGACAATTAACGAGTTGTTTGGTTGGGGATAAAAGGAGGGGAGGGGAGGGGAGGGCATTTTTTATTTTTCCCTTGTTTGGTTGGGAATTTGGGACAGGAGAGGAAGAAAAATTTTAACTTAAAATTCCCTCCCCTCCCCATTTTTGCTCCCCTCCAAAAGTGGGGGAATTTGGAGGGGAAGAAAAATTTTAATGGGTTAAATTACAATCTTACATTTCTTATATAATTTGTAAGTTTTTATTTAAAACATAATTAAAGGTATATTTATCATTTTAACATTATTTTCCTTCTCCTCTCCTTTTTCTTACCAAGGTTTACCATTTTCCCTCATTTCCTCTCCAACAAAATCCCTCCAAACAAAACAAGGTAAAATTACTTCCCCTCCCTTTCTCTCCTTAAAATCTCTCCCCTCCCTTTCCCTCCATTCAACCACGCACACCCTTAATTCGCACCAGTAGCCATCTTCCACTGGAATGCATAATGCAAGCTATTGAAAGAATAACGAAATCACGCCGATTGGCTAGGGTTTTCAAATATATGCCGGCATCCGTCTTCGATGCCGCAGAACGAGTTACGGCTTCCCGGCGCGAGGATATGGCCATTGACAATTCTCATGAGCTCGGTCGCCGACGGTCTCTGCGCCGCCTTCATTCGGCCGCATTGGTCTCCGGTAATTTATATTTCTTGTTTTTGTTTTTCTCAGTGGTACGCATAAGAAGGGAAAGGGTGCGAGTGAAGTTCAATAGTTATTTCTTTAGGTTGAATATGAATGACTTGATGATTTAGTTCGTATGGCGAAAGAAGCATATGATTTGAATTTAGCTGAGCTGAGTGTGATGACATCACTGTTTTGGTTATGTCTTGGTGTACAAAGATTTAGTGACGAATGTATTTATGCAAGGATACGTAGTTAAGGTTCAATCTAATTTGATTTGCGGGTACTTGGATGTCAATATTTTGTTTTTTAATTCATTTTGGTTTTAGGGCATTCACTGTAATCTTCTGACATTGGATTTTGTGCAATAAGTGTAGGTGAACTAGTTTTGTGATTTTTAGGTATATTTTACTGAACAATTAGCTGCAATGTTTAACACGTTACTACGTAAAAAGAGAAGGAATTAAGTAAGCATGAATGTGTTTAGATGAGTGTGTTTCTCGTAAGCATAAAATAGGCACATTGGTTTTCCTAAAAGCATATTATGTATGCCAAATAATTTTCTGTGTGAACGTATAATTTTCAGGCAGTACTGATGGAACTTTGAGACTTGAATCCGATCACCCAAAAGTTGCACTGTCACTGATGGTGATGCCAAATAGATTCTTTTCTTCTGAAGCAAGAGCTACTGAAAATGATTCTGCAGGTATATATTTTTAATCATTCAGTGATTTCAAAAATGTGTAATTTGAAGTGTATCTCATGTGAAAAAAGGCTCCTTTTGTTGCTTCAGATGCAGAGACAGTGAAAGGACTGTATGAAAAGTTGGTGAACTATGTGACAGAGAAAAGAACTGCCCCTCCAAATGCTTGGTTGTGGTCACTCATTGCTAAATGTTCCACACAGGAAGACATTGAGCTCCTGTTTGATATTTTGCAGAAACTTCGTAGATTTGTTAGTGCTTCTCTGTTTCATTGCTTAACATTTTGCTTACCTTCCATGCTTTATATATTTCTCTTTTTGTTGTGTGCTGCAGAGGCTCTCCAATCTTCGGATACCCGGTGACTTTAATAGTGCACTTTGCAGGGAAATTACAACGGCCTGTGTTCGTGGAGGAGCAATTGATTTGGGTGAGAATTATGACATCATAATAGACTGTCACTGATATCAAATTTCTGAATTTTATATTTACAGAGGAAACTCTTAATCACGCTATGATACTCTAGTTTACTCTTTTTGGTATCGATACATCTCACCAAGCTGTTTTTCACAGCAATAATAATCTTTCTTTCAAAACTGTTGTTTGTTCACTATTTCTTATGGTGAGAGCCCCCATAAACTTGGTTGCATGCTGTCATTATTGTACTGGCAATTTAGTAGAGAAATTCCTCGGATGCTAGAAATCATGTTTGGTTGGTAACTGGTAAAAGTTTTTTGGTTAAAAGATTTTGTCCACAGGTTAGAAAAACAAACTTAAAATATCTGCAACCTTGTTGCTTTTGTAACACAAGAAAAAGAGTTATGGTCTTTTGTATGTACCTGCTGCTAAAGCATAGTTCTTTCCATGGCTGGTCGGTAGATATGGGGGTTAGAAGATATGTTTATCCCACATTGATTAGTTATTGAGTTTGTTTCACATGCAAGAGAAAAAAAAATTGTGAATTAGTTTTATCTTGCTTGAAAACTTATGTGTAGTGAAAACCAATGCATTGACATGAGTTTTTTTCTTGAAGAAACTTATGACGGCTTTGATGATAAGAAGTCCACTCTGTTTGCTGGTCTAGTGTGTCCTTCATTTTCCTTTTTTCCTTATCACCAGATTTAAAGCCTTCTCAATTCATTTCCAAACAGGCATGAAGACTTTGTGGCAACGTAATTTGTTTGGACTAACTCCTGACATTGGATCTGCTCACATTCTTCTGGTATGAAAATCTTCTATAGGATCTGTTGTACTTGTACCATTTGTGGTTGTCTACTCATATCAACCTAACTGAAAAACATTTGCTTCATGACTGCAGCTTCATGCCAAGAAACACAATGATGTGAAACTTATGACTAAAATAATGAAACACGTTAAAATCAATTTTTTAACTCCACAACCTGGCACTGCAGATATAGTTTTCAGGTATACATCCATCGGAATACTGTTCAGTTTATTTCTCTTCTACATTGACTTTTCTCAATGACAGCTTGCATATACCGCAACAGTGCTGGCTAAAAAATGAGTTTTCTTTCAGTGTAATTTTACAGAGAAATAGTAACATCATTAATGTGGCATTAGTGGTTCACTGTGTACCATGTTTGTTTATATAGTATTAGTTCTTTTTTCTCCACAATTTTGCTTGACCTTACCACTTGAATCTTGATTTTTTTTCCCTTTTGGATTATGCTGTTGCAGCATTTGTTATAATGCGGACAAATTGGATTTGATGTGTAAGAACGGAAAAAGGTTTGTCAAGTCTGGAGTTAAACTCAGTCAGTCATCCTTCGAGTTATGGATGGAATTTGCTGCCAAGAAAGGTCCTACGCGATCTATTTTGTTTTCTTTTTATCTCGTGATTGGATCATTCAGGGGTCTTGATTTGTCAAAGGAATTAGCTTGATTCATTTAATTCATGCTCTTATCTGGGGGCTTGCATAATCTTAAAGAAAGAAGAAAGAAAAATGAGAGATTATTGTCTAATGCCTTAACTTTCCCTACTCTAGGAGATGTTGAGTCCCTATGGAAGATTGAGAAGTGGCGATCAGCGGCAATGGAACAGCATAGTCTTTCAACTGGGTTTTCCTGTGTGAAGGTAGTTCGTGTGTTTTTATATCCGTGTTTATATCCATCAGTTTGAAATTCAAGTTTCACCTCTAGTGATTTGCTCTTTCCCCTTTTGTGTATGGGAGGGATAGGAGGATGGAAATTTGACATTTTGCTGGCGTGATTGATATTTTGCTAGAATTCCTTTATGCACTGATAATTAAGTGTGTTAATTTGCGTTTTTATTTTTACCATTATTGTATACTAATTTTGGTGTTTCCAGGGTCTCCTCCTTGAACGCAAGCCTGATGATGCTTCCGCCATCATTCAAGTTTTATATCAGGTAAATTTATATCATTGTCAAATCTTTGCAGAATAAAAAAAAAGTTCTATTTGTGTTCATGGATTATGCTTTTTTTATTGGTCAAACCAGAAACCACCTGTGTTGAACCTTTTGTCCTGGCCTTGATCTATTGGATGTTAACATAGAAATGTCCATGAGTCGAAGTTAGATGATGTAATAATCTTCCTAGGCCTCGTTTGCTTGCATTGATGGGAGAGGATAGGGGTATTTACCATGTGTTATCCTTTGTTTATTATCCATGATTATGGCCTGGTGGATAGTTAGGGGCCCAGCATTAAACAAAATTCTATCCCCAATATACCGCTTCGTGTATCCAGATTAAGTTGGGTTGATTGAACTTATCCTACTTCAAAATGATATTGAATCTTTTTCTTATTCTTTTTTCTTGTCTTCCCTTCCTCTTTTCTTCTCTCTCTACCCTGTTACTTAATTCTTTTCTTCCTTTTCTCATTCCTGTGGAAGTAGAAGACCAAATTCCACCACATTTCTTTTTGTTCTTTCATAACACACACTTGAGGCCACAAAAATACACTTCTCCTCTGAATCATAATTTTGTTGGTGCTGTTGGTATGAAGGAGAAAAAAAAAAGATTGGAATTTTTTTTTGTTGCTGGTGGTTTGAATAAGAAAAAAAGATTGGAAAAGAAGAATGAATGAGAAAGAAAAGAAAAAATTATACAGAAAGAAAAAGAAAAATATGCGATCGTTGGTATTTTTGAGGGGATAGGGATAAAATTGACAATACACCATTTTATCCAATGACTATTAAGAGAAACAAACACTATCGGAAGTAAAACGCTATCCTATCCGAACGATCAATCATGTATAATAAATATGAACTTAATTTTATCCATATAGTACAATCCACCCACCTATTGTTAATTTAGTCGAATCCCGTCAAGCAAAACAAACAAGCCCTTATAGTAGATGTTATGTCTGTAGAGGATATGAAGCAGCATTGTTCCATAACTACCAGGAAAACTATATTAGCATACTTAAACGTAAGATGTAAAATTTTTTATTTCTGCCTGATTCAGATGAAATAACCAAATGAGAATTAATTTTTCGTCTTGCTTTCTCCACTGCCCTTATCTTTATAAATCAGGATTCACATTGAGCAAATACTATTTTGATGTCCAGACATTACCCGATGCAAGACAATCAAGTATTGCAGTTGAACTTCAAAAGCTAGTGAGCGAGTGGCCTTTGGATGTTTTAAAGCATCAGAAAGAGGAGAACAAACAGGTACCTTTCCCATGTTGTTTATACTTTTGATCAGTGACTGAATTCGATCTCTCACTCTAACTACAACTGCAAGTGCCAAAAACAATTATAAACGCGAATAGTAAAACGGCAACACTCTGTTTCGAGATAACACCTTCACTCCATATTATATATTACACATACACCCACAGGAGTATGAAAAGGCCATTATCTTTCAATTACAACTATCCGGATTAGGTACTATAGAATACATACAGACATCTCCTTGAGGTTTTTGTTTACTTCACAAGTATTAAGATTGTAATTTCAAAAGATACACGACATTTTTCCTTTTTCTTTTTTCTCAGTGATATGAACTTTGTAATTATCCCCACATATTTATATTTCATTTGTACTTGGCCTCTTTGTAACTGCAATGTTTCTTGGTTTGCCACACGGGCTAAAACTATATTTGTCGTATTGGCCTAGGTAACTGCCAAGGCATTACAAAGTGATATTTTTCAGCTGATCAATGCTTTACAAACATTGGGTGTGGAGACAAATGTTAACATTCAAGAGTTTCTCGGGAAAACACTTTTGTCTTGAGACGTCCAGTTGAATCACTTTCTATCTTGTTCCTCTGAGTTCACAAGCCTTAGCAGGTGCTCGTTTTGACGAAACAAGCATATAGATGAAAGCTTGTAGGGAACAATTTATATGTGTATCTTGTTATGACATTACATGCTTTTTTTTTTGTAGTTAATTTTTATATATTACTAATTATAGGGTGCCTCCAATAAAAATGATTGTAAATCTACCACTGTTAGATACTCGTGAATCTCCATTTAAAGGGTGATTGATACACTGTTCAAACCACATGCTGGTCATGAACAAGTATATAAACATTTGAAGTATTTGATATTCGCTTATAAATTAACTTGAACCAACTGTTATTTTAATTTTACCATGAATTCGATCGAATTTTGCAATCTGTGCAACCTTGTTGATTAAGTATTATCTGTCCCAATGAATAATGTGTGTAATTTGTATTTATCCTTGCCCTTACTTTTGATGAGAATGACAAGTGAAGCAAATCAAAGAAAGCGTTGAAAGCGAAATTAATTTCACAATTCACATATTGGGCAGATGTATTATGGATCAGCTAACCAAGAGGACTTTTTTGGCTGTCTATAGTAAGCAGAAAATTGATAAATGGATAAGTGATATGAACTCTTTCTCAATGACGTGTTTAATTAGGTAACGACTAAGATGGTTTAATTATTCATTTTTTTTATATAGTTGGTGTTTGATGTCGTAAGTTTTCGTGTCAAGATGCAGAATTGTTTTCTTTATTATTGCACCATTATGAAACTTTTGACAACTTGTAAGTGTAAACTATTTGGTATTGTGTCGCATTGCACTAATCTAAATCCAAATGTC